TCGGCGTACACATCAATGAAATCTGAAATAGTCCACCCACACAGACAGTGTGGTGAAGATGGCGCAACAGCGCCTCTTCAACCTCCGGAGGCTGAAGAAATTTGGCTTGGCGCCTAAGACCCTCACAAACTTTTACAGATGTAATTGAGAGCATCCTGTTTGGCTGTATCACCGCCTGGTACGGCAACTGCACCGCCCGCAATCGCAGGGCTCTCCAGAGGGTGGTGCGGTCTACCCAACACATCACCGGGGGCACACTGCCTGCCCTTCAGGACACCTACAGCACCCGATGTCACAGGAAGGCCAAAAAGATCATCAAGGACATCAACCACCCGAGCCACGGCCTGTTCACCCCGCTATCATCCAGAAGGCGCAGTACAGGTATATCAAAGCTGGGACCGAGAAACTGATAAACAGCTTCTATCTCAAGGCCATCAGACTGTTAAATAGCCATCACTAGCCGGCCTCCACCCAGTACCCTGCCCTGAACTTAGTCACTGTCACTACCGGCTACCACCTGGTTACTCAACCCTGCACCTTAGAGGCTGCTGCCCTATGTACATAGACATGGAATCACTGGTCACTTTAAATTGAACACTAGTCACTTTATTAATGTTTACATACTGTTTTACTCATTTCCTATGTATATACTGTACTCTACTGTATTTACGTCAATGCCACTCAGACATTGCTCGTCCTAATATTTACAGTGAGGGAAAAAAGTATTTGATCCCCTACTGATTTTTTACGTTTGCCCACTGACAAATAAATTATCAGTCTATAATTGTAATGGTAGGTTTATTTGAACAGTGAGAGACAGAATAACAACAAAAAAATCCAGAAAAACGCATGTCAAAAATTTTATAAATGTATTTGCATTTTAATGAGGGAAATAAGTATTTGACCCCTCTGCAAAACATTACTTAGTACTTGGTGGCAAAACCCTTGTTGGCAATCACAGAGGTCAGACGTTTCTTGTAGTTGGCACCAGGTTTACACACATCTCAGGAGGGATTTTGTCCCACTCCTCTTTGCAGATCTTCTCCAAGTCATTAAGGTTTCGAGGCTGACGTTTGGCAACTCAAACCTTCAGCTCCCTCCACAGATTTTCTATGGGATTAAGGTCTGGAGACTGGCTAGGCCACTCTAGGACCTTAATGTGCTTCTTCTTGAGCCACTCCTTTGTTGCCTTGGCCGTGTGTTTTGGGTCATTGTCATGCTGGAATACCCATCCACGACCCATTTTCAATGCCCTGGCTGAGGGAAGGAGGTTCTCACCCAAGATTTGACGGTACATGGCCCCGTCCATCGTCCCTTTGATGCGGTGAAGTTGTCCTGTCCCCTTAGCAGAAAAACACCCCCAAAGCATAATGTTTCCACCTCCATGTTTGACGGTGGGGATGGTGTTCTTGGGGTCATAGGCAGCATTCCTCCTCCTCCAAACACGGCAAGTTGAGTTGATGCCAAAGAGCTCGATTTTGGTCTCATCTGACCACAATACTTTCACCCAGTTCTCCTATGAATCATTCAGATGTTCATTGGCAAACTTCAGACGGCCCTGTATATGTGCTTTCTTGAGCAGGGGGACCTTGCGGGCGCTGCAGGATTTCAGTCCTTCACGGCGTAGTGTGTTACCAATTGTTTTCTTGGTGACTATGGTCACAGCTGCCTTGAGATCATTGACAAGATCCTCCCGTGTAGTTCTGGGCTGATTGCTCACCGTTCTCATGATCATTGCAACTCCACAAGGTGAGATCTTGCATAGAGCCCCAGGCCGAGGGAGATTGACAGTTATTTTGTGTTTCTTCCATTTGCGAATAAACGCACCAACTGTTGTCACCTTCTCACCAAGCTGCTTGCCGGTGGTCTTGTAGCCCATTCCAGCCTTGTGTAGGTCTACAATCTTGTCCCTGACATCCTTGGAGAGCTCTTTGGTCTTGGCCATGGTGGAGAGTTTGGAATCTGATTGATTGATTGCTTCTGTGAACAGGTGTCTTTCATACAGGTAACAAACTGTATAAAAGACACCTGGGAGCCAGAAATCTTTCTGATTGAGAGGGGGTCAAATACTTATTTCCCTCATTAAAATGCAAATCAATTTATAACATTTTTGACATGCGTTTTTCTGGATTTTGTTGATGTTATTCTGTCTCTCACTGATCAAATAAACCTACCATTAAAATTATAGACTGATCATTTCTTTGTCAGTGGGCAAATGTACAAAATCAGCAGGGGATCAAATACTTTTTTCCCTCACTGTATATATATTTCTTAATTCTATTATTTTACTTTTAGATTTGTGTGTATTGTTGTGAATTGTTAGATACTACTGCACTGTTGGAGCTAGGAACACAAGCTTTTCGCTACACCTGCAATAACATCTGCTAAATATGTACAGTGGGGGAAAAAAGTATTTAGTCAGCCACCAATTGTGCAAGTTCTCCCACTTAAAAAGATGAGAGAGGCCTGTAATTTTCATCATAGGTACACGTCAACTATGACAGACAAATTGAGAAAATGTTTTCCAGAAAATCACATTGTAGGATTTTTAATGAATTTATTTGCAAATTATGGTGGAAAATAAGTATTTGGTCACCTACAAACAAGCAAGGTTTCTGGCTCTCACAGACCTGTAACTTCTTCTTTAAGAGGCTCCTCTGCCCTCCACTCATTACCTGTATTAATGGCATCTGTTTGAACTTGTTATCAGTATAAAAGACACCTGTCCACAACCTCAAACAGTCACACTCCAAACTCCACTACGGCCAAGACCAAAGAGCTGTCAAAGGACACCAGAAACAAAATTGTAGACCTGCACCAGGCTGGGAAGACTGAATCTGCAATAGGTAAGCAGCTTGGTTTGAAGAAATCAACTGTGGGAGCAATTATTAGGAAATGGAAGACATACAAGACCACTGATAATCTCCCTCGATCTGGGGCTCCACGCAAGATCTCACCCTGTGGGGTCAAAATTATCATAAGAACGGTGAGCAAAAATCCCAGAACCACACGGGGGGACCTAGTGAATGACCTGCAGAGAGCTGGGACCAAAGTAACAAAGCCTACCATCAGTAACACACTACGCCGCCAGGGACTCAAATCCTGCAGTGCCAGACGTGTCCACCTGCTTAAGCCAGTACATGTCCAGGCCCGTCTGAAGTTTGCTAGAGTGCATTTGGATGATCCAGAAGAGGATTGGGAGAATGTAATATGGTCAGATGAAACCAAAATAGAACTTTCTGGTAAAAACTCAACTCATCGTGTTTGGAGGACAAAGAATGCTGAGTTGCATCCAAAGAACACCATACCTACTGTGACGCATGGGGGTGGAAACATCATGCTTTGGGGCTGTTTTTCTGCAAAGGGACCAGGACGACTGATCCGTGTAAAGGAAAGTATGAATGGGGCCATGTATCGTGAGATTTTTAGTGAAAACCTCCTTCCATCAGCAAGGGCATTGAAGATGAAACGTGGCTGGGTCTTTCAGCATGACAATGATCCCAAACACACCGCCCGGGCAACGAAGGAGTGGCTTCGTAAGAAGCATTTCAAGGTCCTGGAGTGGCCTAGCTAGTCTCCAGATCTCAACCCCATAGAAAATCTTTGGAGAGAGTTGAAAGTCCGTGTTGCCCAGCGACAGCCCCAAAACATCACTGCTCTAGAGGAGATCTGCATGGAGGAATGGGCCAAAATACCAGCAACAGTGTGTGAAAACCTTGTGAAGACTTACAGAAAACATTTGACCTGTGTCATTGCCAACAAAGGGTATATAACAAAGTATTGAGAAACGTTTGTTATTGACCAAATACTTATTTTCCACCATCATTTGCAAATAAATTCATTAAAAATCCTACAATGTGATTTTCTGGATTTTTTTTCTAATTTTGTCTGTTATAGTTGACGTGTACCTATGATGAAAATTACAGGCCTCTCTCATCTTTCTAAGTGGGAGAACTTGCACAATTGGTGGCTGACTAAATACCTTTTTTCCCCACTGTATGTGGCCAATAAAATTTGATTTCATTTGAAAACCTAACCGTAACCCCAAAACGTAACCTTAACCCTAAACCTAACCCTAACCCTTGCTCCTAATCCTAACCCTAAAACTAACCCTAGCTCCTAACTCTAATTCTAACCCTAACACTAACACTAATTCTAACCTTAACCCTAATCTCGCTAGAAATAGCATTTTAACTTGTGGGGACTAACAAAATGTCCCCAGTTGGTCAAATTTTTGTTAGTTTACTTCTGGTCCCCACAATTATAGTTAAACACACACGCACGCACACACACACACACACACACACACACACACACACAGTCAGCTGTGAAATACGTCACCCTTGAACTCCCTTTGTAGCCCATTACTGGAAGAGTGGGAAGACACAGGCTGACTCAGGTTCAACTCAGCATGAGGTTTAAATCTCAGGGTTGGATTGAAGAATATAAAAGACTGATAAGTACACACATCTGTGTATGGTGTCATTGAGCTCGGTTTACAAGGTGAAAGTGAGAGATCAGCATAGGCGAGTCAGAGGAGTAGTGCTCTGTCCAAAACCCCACAGTCTGGAGGTCCATTTGAAGGTCTTTCCTCTTCCTGGCATCATTCTCTCTCAGACCAAAGAGTTAACTCCCACACATAGCCTTCACACTGACTCCTCTCGCAGGTGTGTTTGTCGGCCACACGTCAATCATCTCAACTCTCTTGAACCACAGTGCATTAGAAAGAGCAAAAGTACTCTCTTCCCACAGCTGCCGTAAATGCCACGAGTCTGGAAAGCAAAAGTCGGACCATAGACAGTCCCATACATCCCAATAAAAATGTATCTCGTTGACTTCTGCTGCCCCCTAGTGGTTAGAGATGAGCCACACAGCAAACCATGAGTCCAGTCTGCTGTGGTTTATGTTGTGCTTTATTTAGTGTGTAGATTAGAATGTAGATTAACCAAACGAATCCCTCCCTGACCTTTCTCTGACCCTATGGGAATGACTGTATTTTCTCAGCAGCACATAGATTGGATTATTGTAATAGTCATGAGGGAGGAGGAGGATGAAAGAGTAGGGATGAAGTGGTTCTGACCTGGCCTGAAGTTGGGCAGCTCGTTCACTCCTGGCCACGTCTCCTCAGTCGGGACCCCTACGACCTGCAGACAGACAGAAAGGGTCCAGAGAGAGCCATCAACCGTCATCTGTATTAGTTATTGTGGATCTACACTCTTAGAAAAAAGGCTTCCAAAGGGGTTCTTTGGCTGTCCCCATAGGAAAACCCCTTTTGGGTTCCAGGTAGAACCCTTTTGGGTTTGAGGTAGAACCCTTTTGAGTTCCATGTAGAACACGCCGTAGAAAGGTTCTACATGGAACCCAAAACGGTTCTACCTGGAACCCAAAATGGTTCTTCAAAGGGTTCTCCTACGGGGACAGCCGAAGAACCCGTTAAGGTTCTAGATAGCACCTTTTTCTCTAAGAGTGTAGAGAGGATGATGCCATTGAAACGAGTGAAGGGGGATCCTACTCACAGCCCATATCTTCTGCAGCTGCTCAAAGATGTCTGCCACCCCTGGAAAGGCTGGTGTCCCCTGAAGCATCTCAATGAAGATGCATCCAGCTCCCCTGGAAGACAACACAGGATTGAGAGAGTTATTTAATAACCAGTGAAAAGAGGGAGAAGTACGGACATCTTTCTTCAGTACTTTATAATCGGCACAATAAGCGAACTTGGTAAAAACTAAGGGTAGGTTTATTATTCTGAGCAGTCTATTCCTAGAAGGCAAAACATAGCGAAAAAAAGAGGATGAATTCAAAAACGTATCCTTGGTAAAAATATGAAAACCTTCCAAAATAAACAACATGCAAGCAAATACCTTGGTTATGGCCAACACATTTGATTATCGCTATTAAAATACTAACCCTGTCGGTACATTTCTCTTTGTATTCAAAGTCCTTAAACAACATGTGGTCCCAATCTCTTCTATTTGGAAAGGTCAAATAGAAACCTGCCTAGATATCGTTAACATTAACGCACAGGATGGTTTATACCAACGCTTATGCTATTCATTAGTACAAAATTCCTTTAACTCTGGGGGGAAATAATATTTTGCTTAGGAGAGCAACTCTAAACGTTTGTTTTTCAGTATGGCACCGAACCATCGTTAGACCAAGGCCAAGAGGTTAAACTCTTCTGAACACGCAACATTCTCTGAGCCAACCTGAGGTAACTAACTCTGTAGGAGAGTACTTGGCAACACTAATGACAGCTACTCTAACACCACCACTGATGCCGTGTTCAAAACAACTGGGAACTAGGAAATCTCTGACTTCCGACTTCAGTGCGTTCAAGACAACTGGGAACTCAGAAAAAAAACAGCTCTGACTAGGAAAAATCGGTTTGAACGGTCATCCAACTCGGAACTCCAAGTCGGAAACTCACGCATCTTTCTAGAGCTCTGACTTTCCGACCTGAAGATCACTGACGTCATGATTTAACCTCGTTTTTTTCCCGAGTTGCCAGTTGTCTTGAAAGCACCATGACACAGTGATCTAAGTAGTTATGTAGTCTCTAGATCAGTGTGGTCTAGTGGTATTCTGGTTCAGTGCTGGTGGGTTCAGAACTGGCTGCCCAGTGGGAAAAAGCAGATTGAAATGATGTTATTGCAACCTTGCCTGCAGGATGGTTGGATATGGCGGATGTTCAGACCCTGTCCAAATATGGGATATTGTATGTCCTGATATGTCCAGTCCACTCACCAGATGTCCAGAGCAGTGGAGTAATCAGTGGAACCCAGGAGGACATCAGGAGGCCGGTACCACATAGTCACCACCTCAGACGAGTAGGTCTGGCACGGGATGGACTTGGACCGGGCCAGCCCTAGTGGATACAGACAAAACCATATAGTTATAACATGAACACAATACCACATATAACATAGATATAATACCACCTGCATACATGCCCAAATAACACATGTGGGTTAGGTTAGGGGACTGTACACTTTTAAGAAATAGTGCTCCTGACGTTTCGCCACTATAGGCTTCTTCAGAGGATAGTTGGACAATGGACAAGCAGGAACTTAAGAGGGTGTGGAGGGGTTGGCTCGGTTTAGGGTAGGGTTAGGGTTGAACCAGGATTTGGACATGAAGCTAGGGTTAGGGTTGTGGTTGAGGGTTAGGGTTGAACTGGGATGTGGACATGAAGTTAGGGTTAGGGTTGTGGTTGAGGGTTAGGGTTGAACCAGGATGTGGACATGAAGCTAGGATTAGGGTTGTGGTTGAGGCTAGGGTTAGGTTTGAACCGGGAAGTGGACATGAAGCTAGGGTTAGGGTTGTGGTTGAGGCTAGGGTTAGGGTTGAACCGGGATGTGGACATGAACCTAGGGTTAGGGTTAGGGTTGAGGTTAGGGTTGAACCAGAATGTGGACATGAAGCTAGGGTTTGGGTTACCGAAGTCAGCCAGTTTGAGCTCCCCCAGGTAGCTGATGAGCAGGTTCTGGGGTTTGAGGTCCCGGTGCAGGATCCTCCGACCGTGGATGTAGGACAGACCCCGCAACAGTTGGAACATGAAGATCTGATGGACAGACAGACAGACAGACAGACAGACAGACAGACAGACAGACAGACAGACAGACAGACAGACAGACAGACAGACAGACAGACAGACAGACAGACAGACAGACAGACATGCAGGATGAGTATGGTCAATGGTGAACAATCAAAACAATTGAAAGAGTAGAGTAAAGATTTTTGGGTGAGAGGGAAAAGTTATGGTATTTGTTGAGGTTCTGTTTATCCAAATATTGAACTTACCCTGACATTGTAGGAATGCAGGCCCCCTGGGTGCTGCTTCATATACTCAGCCAAGTCTGTTTGTACGTACTCAAAGACAAATGTGAGTGCCTCTTTGGTGTGGATGATGTCATGGAGCAGGACAATGTTGGCGTGTTTCAGGCCTTTCAGGAGGGAAGCTGGAGAGACAGGCACAGAGCTAATACTAATTGACTTCGTTCACAGTGGAAATGGAATATGATAAGCACATGCAATTCTCCTAAACATGCTAAAGCTAACATGACTTCACTTCAGTTCATCTCCTGGGAGTACTCTGAGACATCGAAGTATCAATCCTGTTTTGCTTTTACAGTATGTGCCTACTGGAAAAGCTCTCTCACCCTCTCGGATGGCAGTGAATGGTACGCCTTCTTCAGTCTTCATACGAATCACCTTCAAGGCCACCAGGTGCCCGTTTATCCTGAGGGCAGAGTAGAGGAGAGTAACAGAAAGAGTGAACACACCACAGCTCAGTTATGGTGAGAGAGGATACAGACAAATACAGAAATACAGGCAAATACAGTCATCTATTATCATTTATAACAGAGAGATACAATTCATGACCTCAGTAAATGTCAAGAAAAACTCAAAAGAACCTCACCCTCCATTTCTGCACTGCTGCCAACCAATCAAATCACATCTCCTACCCGACCGAAAAACGTTTTATCTTAGTGCAGCTGTGGCTTTTGGCAGCTCTCTGCCTGGTCTTCTGGAGTCTGACTTTATGAGTTAATAAAGCTCTCTGCCTGGTCTTCTGGAGTCTGACTTTATGAGTTAATAAAGCTCTCTGTCCTGAACACTAGCAAAATGTAACCAAAGATTTGTATAACTAAAGCAAGACAGACCACAGCCTGTCGTTTCAAATAGGAACACATGAGTCATAGTGGGCAGAGCAAGGAGGTGGGCAGAGCCAAGCACAAGCTAGCGAGATCCTATTGGCGTGTTCTAGCATACATTTGCATATTTCCGTTAGGGAACGCCTACTCTGTGAAGTGCGTGTGTGCAATAACTAAATTTGCCTTTGCACTCCTTCTAAACAATGCAAAAAAAATTACAACTTTGGCAAAGGATTAAGTCTACAAAACTTAATCCACTCTATTCGTAACAGATTATACTTTTGGGAACCGTATACTTTATTGAGATCAAATGTTTAATCGATGAGAACATTTGCAGAATGTCGGCCAAAATCCTTCTCGTTCCATCTTCTCCCACTGCTGGCCACTGGGCTTCCTCTCACTACCATATTTGGTAGTGAGTGGAAACGCCAAGCGGATGCTTCACATTTATACATCCGGTGAAATATCTGTCTCATTGTTCTATCTGTGACGTAACCTCTGGCAGCCTCGGCTGTGTGCTGTTTGACCTTATAAAGTGAAACCACCGTGAAAAGCTTTATGTGCTCTGTGCTCGTTAGTGTAGAACCATCCAATAGATGTTCACTAAAAACCTTGTCCTTAGTCAAACGAACAGCACAGAGGACAAATAGGGTCAGTCAAATCAATACCAGCTGACATAGCGGTTTGGTTTGTAGGGATAATAGCCTCGTTATTGTTATTTTATTGTGTATTTTTTACTTTAGTTTATTTAGTAAATATTTTCTTAACTCTATTTCTTGAACTGCATTGTTGGTTAAGGGCTTGTAAGTAAGCATTTCACGGTAACACCTGTTGTATTCGGCGCATGTGACAAATACAATTTTATTTTATTTGATAATATAAAAGATGTGTCATATACGAACAACTACACTGACCTATTGGACGTTATCAGGGTGGATAACGTAATTATTGAGCTGTTCATCAGTGTTGAGTTGTGGTAATGTCTGGCTTATAGCACCTGTACTGACTTCAGATTCCACTTGCTCTTTGGGGTCAAGGTCGGGTTACTGCATAAGCACTTGATGACAACTGATTGATTGATTGATACTGACCGGCTGATTCCTTTGTAGACTGTAGCGTATGTCCCTTCCCCTAGCTTCTCCAGGTTCAGGTAGGAGTTAGCTGTGCCAAACTGTAGGCCTGTTTTCTGAGGACACACACACGTGTTTTAGGTGGGGTAAGGTGCTGACCTCAAACATTTTTTACAATATTCATATTGACAGAGTGAGGTAACTGCAGGTACATTACAGACATAACCAGGTGCCACCTACCTCACCTAGCCTGATCCTAGATCTGTTTGTACTATCTTGCCAAATCCTAAAGTCATTGTCACACACCATAGTAATCATAACAGATCTGGGACAAGGCTAACCTTCCCAGTGCTCACCCATTGGAACTCCTGATCGAAACTCTTCCCCCCCATAGGGTCACTGTTGCTGCGTTCTCTCTGGACCGTCAGCCTGCGGACCTGCAGCGTGTGGAACCAGTGAGGCTGGGGCTTGGAGTAGGACGGGTCTGCCTCATCCAACTGGCCCGGTGGAGGAGAGAGAATAGAGAGACAGACAGGAGAGAGAGAGTGGTGGATGCAAATAAACACATGACAGACAAGAGAGAGAGAGAGAGAGAGAGTCAGAGAGAGAGAGAGTCAGAGAGAGAGAAAGAGAGAGTCAAAGAGAGAGAGAGTCAGATAGAGAGAGAGTCAGAGAGCAAGAGAGTATGATCCCTTATTGATGTCACTTGTTAAAACCAGTTCAATCAGTGTAGATGCAGGGGAGGTGTTAGATTAATTTGGATTTTAAGAATAATGACTAAAGGATTTTACCCCAAATACAGTATAAATGTTAGAATTATCATGTAGTGTCAACCCACTAACAGAGGGGGTACTAAACATTCAAGGGTAAAGGAGGAGGCGGGAACTGTTTAAGAAAGCCACCTAAAGGTGGGAGAAGCATAGTGCCTTTGTTTGTCAAGAAGTATAAAAACAGTATGTATGTGTTTTTAGCGGCAGAGCGCTCTCCATGAATAAATATACCGATAATTACTTGTGGATTGTGGACCTTGAATCATTGATGATTAAAACCAGAGCTTTACAACCTCTGGTAATGATTCAAGCTTAAGTTGAATTAGAGATAGAAATTCACATGACAGGAGGAGACAGGATAAATAAGGATTTTTAAGCCTTGAGACAATTGAGACATGGATTGTGTATGTCTGCCAGTCAGAGAGTGAATGGGCAAGACAAAATATTAATGTGCCTTTGAACAGGGTATGGTTGTAGATGCCAAGCGCACTGGTTTGTGTCAAGAACTGCCACACTGCTGGGTTTTTCACACTCAACAGTTTCACATGTGTATCAAGAATGGTCCACCACCCAAAGGACATCCAGCCAACTTGACACAACTGTGGGAAGTATTGGAGTCAACATGGGCCAGCATCCCTGTGGAACGCTTTCGACACCTTGTAGAGTCCATGCCCCGATGAATTGAGGCTGTTCTGAGGGCAAAAGGTGTTCCTAATGTTTGGTATACTCAGTGTAAATAGTTTGTATTAGTCACAGTAGAGTACAGGACGTTTCAATGTGAGCTGTGCTGATACAGAGACCTGTGATGCCCCATGGGACCATAATCCATCACCCCCGTCTACCACTGTCAGGGTCTACGCTACTCAATGCAATTGCTTTCCTCTCCGTTCCTCTGTTCCTGTCGACGGCGCCTTTTTCCAAAATACATTTGTTAGACACAGCAAAATGTGTGTTGTGGATTCTCTGAATGTTGCGGAGAGGCGTGGGAGAAGACAAGGGCCTCACATCCCTCCAGGGCCTAAAGAGACAGGAAACCCGCTGTTGTGATGACACATCTATTATTGTAGCCGGCCATCCTGTAGCTAGTCAGCTAGAACACATTACCCACTAGCTAAGTTTACAGCTTTGGCATCAAAACAAAAACCCACAAGCTAGTTGAAAGAATCCCTGGCAACCCTGAGAGGAAAGGTTACTGTCAATGCAGAGGGAGCGTTTTTCCAGAGAGAATTCCCTATCAGGAGTGTTTCACTGAACCTAATTGATGTGTGCACAGGGCACACTGACAGACAGAGGGATATCCCTAAAGTCATGACAACATTGGCATCATGACTCTCAGTGTTAGTTAGATAATCCAAGGACACTGACAGTAATAACACAGTGGCACCAGCCATCACCCTAACCAAGCCTGCAGTATCAGACAGACAGACACACACACACACACACACACACACACACACACACACACACACACACACACACACACACACACACACACACACACACACACACACACACGCTCACTACTACCTCAGCAGATGGTAAGGACGTGACACTCCTGCTCTTGGGAGATGGGGGCTCCTCCATTCCCTCCTCCTCTTGCTCCTCCTCCCTCCCCTCCTCCTTCTCCTCCCCTCTTTCTCCATCTTCTTCGACCACAACACAGCACCAGCAGCAACTCTGGACACACACAGCAGCCATGGCCCTGACCCTCCATCTCAAATCCTCCATCTTCCTCTCCCTCCTCTCTCACTTCCTAGACACGTTCTCTCTCCTCCCTCACCTTCCCTCTCCGTCTCTCTTTCTTTCCTGTTTTCGTTGCGGTGGGAAGGCCCTGAAGCTCATATGACTAGCATGAGTCTGGCTCCATGAGCACAGTCCCATGACCACCTCCCTATCCCAGGAGCAGATAAACAGAAAGGCCATGGAACTAAATTGAACAAGAGTGTCCATTCAAGTCAGCACATGAGCTGAAGAAGAGATGATGAGTGTGTCTCGGTGTGCGTGTGTTTGTGTGTGTGAAGAGAGAGGCAATGTGAAGGGGACAGAGATTCACTCATAGAGGGGAAATCTAATTTGAGTGTTTTGTGCAAAATAACATTATATTCCTGGATTGTGGATTGTGTCTCATTTCCTGTACACACCACAGGAGGCTTCTCTCCTGTCTTCTTCTCTTTGATTTCATTCAATGGAATCCCAAATATGTGCATGGGGCATTCCGAATATAATACAGTGATTGATTGATAGAATTCCTCAATTATCTCTCAACCGCCATCGCTCATTGCTCATCCACCCCTCCAGATAGTCTTGACGTGCCGACTCGTACAGAAAGGGGAAAACAAAGTTTGAGGCCAAACACAAGCTAGCTCCAGATCCATCCCAGCCTGTATGAGGGCGAGGTGTGAGGACGGAGGAGGATTGCGTATGAGAGGAGAGACCAGCGGGTGAAAACAGTCTCCCACAGAGCCGCCATAACCTGCCAATCTGAACCACTAACAGCTTTTACTCTCTGTGGTTCACTTTCCCTATTTTCCTAAAACAGGCTTTTTCCCTCAAACATTTTCTTAACTGCATATATAGCATTTATGTGCAGGTTTTGGAGGACACAGGGCAGTTAGTGACACCACATAATGATGCTTTTTGTGAGTGCTGAGTGGTCCACGCCAGGCAGCAGCAAATGGAAATTAGCTCCATAAAGAGTGTAATTACAGTTGTATTAGTAGAGGGCAGGGCAGAGTATGATGTAGAGCTCAGAGGGGAGGCAAGGCTATTTTTGTCTCTTTCTTTACTGAGACGTAGAATGTAGAATCTCACGGTGCTCTTTACACTATGAGGAGGAGAAAGAACTTAATGGCCCTTGAAATGAAATGCCTCTCCAACTTCAACGTGACAGCGGGAGCAATGCTGAGTGGTGGTGGTGGAGTGTGTGTATGTGTATGTGTTTCTACAGCCTCTCTCTCCCTCTCTTCCTCCCTCTCTTCCTCCCTCTCTCTCTCTCTCTCTCTCTCTCTCTCTCTCTCTCTCTCTCTCTCTCTCTCTCTCTCTCTCTCTCTCTCTCTCTCTCCCTCTCAATTCAATTCAATTTAATTTAATTTCAGGGCTTTGTTGGCATGGGAAACGTATGTTAACATTGCCAAAGCAAGTAATAATAATAATAATATGCCATTTAGCTGACGTGAAGTGAAGTAGATTGTAAACAAAAGTGAAATAAACAATAAATATTAACAGTAAACATTACACTCAGAAGTTCCAAAAGAATAAAGACATTTAAAATGTCATATTATGTATATATACAGTGTTGTAACAATGTGCAAATAGTTAAAGTACAAATGGGAAAATAAATAAACATAAATGTGGGTTGTATTTACAATGGTAATTGTTCTTCACTGGTTGCCCTTTTCTTGTGGCAACAGGTCACAAATCTTGCAGCTGTGATGGCACAATGTGGTATTTCACCCAGTAGATAAGGGAGTTTTTCAAAATTGGATTTGTTTTCGAATTCTTTGTGGATCTGTGTAATCTGAGGGAAATATGTGTCTCTAATATGGTCATACATTTGGCAGGAGGTTAGGAGGTGCAGCTCAGCTCAGCTCATTTTGTGGGCAGTGTGCACATAGCCTGTCTTCTCTTGAGAGCGAGGTCTGCCTACGGTGGCCTTTCTCAATAGCAATGCTTACTGAGTCTGTACATAGTCAAAGCTTTCCTTAAGTTTGGGTCAGTCACAGTGGTCTGTTTAGGGCCAAATAGCATTCTAGTTTGTCAGTTTTTTTGTAAATTCTTTCCAATGTGTCAAGTAATTCTCTTTTTGTTTTCTCATGATTTGGTTGGGTCTAATTGTGTTGCTGTCCTGGGGCTCTGTGGGGTCTGTTTGTGTTTGTGAACAGAGCCCCAGGACCAGCTTGCTTAGGGGACTCTTCTCCAAGTTCATCTCTCTGTAGGTGATGGCTTTGTTATGGAAGGTTTGGGAATCGCTTCCTTTTAAGTGGTTATAGAATTTAACGGCTCTTTTCTGGATTTTGATAATTAGTAGGCATCGGCCTAATTCTGCTCTGCATGCATTATTTGGACCCCAGACCTCACAACCATAAAGGGCAATGGGTTCTATAACGGATTCAAGTATTTTTAGCCAGATCCTAATTGGTATGTCGAATTTTATGTTCCTTTTGATGGCATACAAGGCCCTTCTTGCCTTGTCTCTCAGATCGTTCACAGCTTTGTGGAAGTTACCTGTGGCGCTGATGTTTAGGCCGAGGTATGTATCGTTTTTTGTATGCTCTAGGGCAATGGGATCTAGATGGAATTTGTATTTGTGGTCCTGGCAACTGGACCGTTTTTGGAACACCATTATTTTTGTCTTACTGAGATTTACTGTCAGGGCCCAGGTCTGACAGAATCTGTGCAGAAAATCTAGGTGCTGCTGTAGGCCCTCCTTGGTTGCTGACAGAAGCACCAGATCATCAGCAAACATTAGATATTTGACTTCAGATTCTAGTAGGGTGAGGCCGGGTGCCGCAGACTGTTCTAGTGCCCTCGCAAATTCGTTGATATATATGTTGAAGAGGGTGGGGCTTAAACTGCATCCCTGTCTCACCCCATGGCCCTGTGGAAAGAAATGTGTGTGTTTTTTGCCAATTTTAACCGCACACTTGTTGTTTGTGTACATGGATTTTATAATGTTGTATGTTTTTCCCCAACCCCACTTTCCATCAATTTGTATAGCAGACCCTCATGCCAAATTGAGTCAAAAGCTTTTTTGAAATCAACAAAGCATGAGAAGACTTTGCCTTTGTTTTGTTTTGTTTGTTTGTCAATTAGGGTGTGCAGGGTAAATACGTGGTCTGTCTTACGGTAATTTTGTAAAAAGCCAATTTGACATTTGCTCAGTACATTGTTTTCACTGAGGAAATGAACTAGTCTGCTGTTAATGATAATGCAGAGGTTTTTCCCAAGGTTGCTGTTGACGCATATCCCACGGTAGTTATTGGGGTCAAATTTGTCTCCACTTTTGTGGATTGGGGTGATCAGTCCTTGGTTCCAAATATTGGGGAAGATGCCAGAGCTAAGGATGATGTTAAAGAGTTTAAGTATAGCCAATTGGAATTTGTGGTCTGTATATTTTATCATTTAATTGAGGATACCATCAACACCACAGGCCTTATTGGGTTGGAGGGTTTGTATTTTGTCCTGTAGTTCATTCAATGTATTTCCAGTGGGTTCTGGTAGTCTTTAATAGTTGTTTCTAAGATTTGCATTTGATCATGTATATTTTTTTGCTGTTTGTTATTTGTTATAGGGCCAAAAAGATTGGAGAAGTGGTTTACCCATTCATCTCCATTTTGGATAGATACATTTACATTTTAGTCATTTAGCAGACACTCTTATCCAGAGCAACTTACAGTTAGTGAATTTTTTTTTTTTTATTGGCCCCCCGGGGAATCGAACCCACAACCCTGGCGTTGCAAACGCCATGCTCTATCAACTGAGCTACATCCCTGCCGGCCATTCCCTCCCCTACCCTGGACCAATTGTGCGCCGCCCATGAGTCTCCCGGTCGCGGCCGGCTGCGACAGAGCCTGGATTCGAACCAGGATCTCTAGTGGCACAGTTAGCACTGCGATGCAGTGCCTTAGACCACTGCGCCACTCAGGAGTAGATAGCTCTTCGTGTTGTTGTTTGTTTAGTTTTTCCAATTTTCCCAGAAGTGGTTAGAGTCTATGGATTCTTCAATTACATTGAGCTGATTTCTGACATGCTGTTCCTTCTTTTTCCGTAGTGTATTTCTGTATTGTTTTAGTGATTCACCATAGTGAAGGCGTAGGCTCAGGTTTTCTGGGTCTCTATGTTTTTGGTTGGATAGGTTTCTCAATTTCTTTCTTAAGTTTTTGCATTCTTCATCAAACCATTTGTCATTGTTGTTACTTTTCTTCGGTTTTCTGTTAGAGATTTTTAGATTTGATAGGGAAGCTGAGAGGTCAAATATACTGTTTAGGTTTTCTACTGCCAAGTTTACACCTTCACTATTACAGTGGAACGTTTTGTCCAGGAAGTTGTCTAAAAGGGATTGAATTTGTTGTTGCCTAATTGTTTTTTGGTAGGTTTTGACACTACTTTCCTTCCATCTATAGCATTTCTTAATATTATTCAGTTCCTTTGGCTTTGATGCCTCATGATTGAGTATTGCTCTGTTCAAGTAGACTGAGATTTTGCTGTGGTCTGATAGGGGTGTCAGTGGGCTGACTGTGAACGCTCTGAGAGACTCTGGGTTGAGGTCAGTGATAAAGTAGTCTACAGTACTACTGCCAAGAGATGAGCTATAGGTGTACCTACCATAGGAGTCCCCTCGAAGCCTACCATTGACTATGTACATACCCAGCGTGCGACAGAGCTGCAGGAGTTGTGACCCGTTTTTGTTGGTTATGTTGTCGTAGTTGTGCCTAGGGGGGCATTTGGGGGTGGGAATGCTGTCACCTCCAGGTAGGTGTTTGTCCCCCTGTGTGCTGAGGGTGTCCAGTTCTAGCATTTAGGTCGCCACAGACTAGTACATGTCCCTGGGTCTGGAAATGATTGATTTCCCCCCTCCAGGATGGAGAAGCTGTCTTCATTAAAGTATGGGGATTCTAGTGGGGGGATATAGGTAGCACACAGGAGGACATTTTTCTCTGTTGAGATAATTTCCTTTTGAATTTCTAGCCAAATGTAAAATGTTCCTGTCTTGATTAATTTAATAGAGTGAGTTAGGTCTGCTCTAAACCAAATTAGCATACCCCCTGAGTCCCTTTCCTGTTTCACACCTGGTAGTTCTCTCTCTCTTTCTCTCTCTCCATCCCTCCCTCTCTCTCTCCCACTCTTCTCAGCAGGTGGCAGTGTTGGCTATTCTGTTAATCTTCTCTCTCCCCAGGAGGGATGGAGGACACCAGAAAGAAACAGAGAGAGGGAACAAAAAAGTATGTCTAATTGTCTCAAAGTCTTGTGATACATAGCCGAGTCTGAACCTTAAAAAGACACTCTCGTAAGTGGTTCAGTCACAGACAATAACATAGGGCATCTTACCTCCTCATATCCCAGGTGTCTTTGCTTCAGACCTGCCAGGAACAAAAGACAGAAAGTGTGAACACTTGTTAAGAACACTTGGATAGAATACTGGTTAGAACACTTGGATAGAACACCTGGATAGAACACATGGTTGGAACACTTGGTTAGAAAACTTTGATAGAACACTTGGAAACAACATTTGGACCAAACCATTTGGACCAAACCATAAACTTTAAGATCCTGTTTTAGTTACAAGTATGCAAAATTCTGTAGCTGGGAGATTCTAATGGAATGTAAAAAGTGGAGCAGAGATGTCAAATGAGAGAGGAGTGGAGCAGGGAAGGAAGGAGAGGAAGAGGAGGGAGAGGAAGAGGATGAGTGACAGGAGGAAGAGATGAAAATGTGTGTGTGATGATGATGATATAAGTTGGGGAGTGTGTGTGAGAGAAGCAGAATGACCATTATATCTTCATAGTATGTACTTGCCATAAGAGAAAGCTGAAGTGAATGAGAAGACTCGTTTGTATTAGAACACACCCATGATGTAGTTTTATTATATTATGATGATTGAATGATGGGTAGAGCTGACAGAGAGATGGCCTTACTTTGCCATTGGTAGCAGAAGCATGTAAGTGATGATAGTATGAGAGACTGAAGGTTTATCTGAGAGACTGAGATAAGTTACGATATATGATATCAGATCTAGCTATAGCTGCTTGGAGAGAGTTCTAAGAAGGGGAGAGACGGTTTAAGCGACAGGACGCAAGAGAAGCCCTAGCTCTATTGATGACATAAGTGCGTTGACATTTGAGTGGAACTGAGACTTTTCCTAGTCGCCTACGGCGAAGCTGACTAGGCCGTACCTATCCATGCTTCGCTTGATTTCAGGGCTCTTGATTCTAATAGACAATAGGTCCTCTTCTCCACTCTTTACTTCCCTCTGTCTACTCTTGCTCTCTACAGATCTGTTATAATCTTTTCGATTGTATAACTAATCGGTTTGTTCAGCCATTTTTCTAACTATCTTAGCTAATTTTGCATTGTCTCGTTTTCAATAACCTATTGTATTATTTGAAGTTATTTTAATTTTTGCAATGTTAAAATGTATAATTCTTCATTTGATATCTTGATTCTTGGAATGTTCACTAACAAGTCTAATCCTTTTCTCCATGGTCCTAATTAATTCTCTTCATTACTCTCATTGCATTCATCTCTTCATTATCCGGACATCTGATTTCATTGATTTGCCGATCTAGAGGGAATATTTGAGAACTCCTGTTCGCCTATAGGTTGAGAGAAGGAGATAGATGAGCGACGAGAGTGCAAGCTAGGGGGCGTTCCCTCTGCGTCGCTAGACTCTCTCCCGCGTTTGAGATCTTCGTGATGCACGACTACTTCATCTATCGATCGTTTATCAGAGTCGCGAAAGCCCTTCAGATTTGAGATGAGAGAGAGAGAGAGAGAGGAGAGAGAGAGATGGAGAGAGACGAGAGAGATAGAGAGAGAGAGAGAGAGAGAGGAGAGAGAGAGAGACAGAGAGGCTTGGAGAGAGACAGAGAGATGGGGGAGAGAGACAGAAAGAAACAGATACAGAGACAGAGAGAGAGAACTCGGTCGGTAGCTCTTTCTCATAAGTGACAGTCAAAGTTTGTAGGAACATGACTTCTCCTTATCTTCTAAATGGGAAGGCATCGCTGTACCCATCCAGACAAGACATTACCTTTAGGGCTGCTTGACTTTAATAACAATAGGGTTTACAGAAAGCCTTATTCCCTGCATTGCAACACATATAGTATTTAAACAGAACAAAATACTGTAATATAAAACTATAATTGTTTGTCAATAATTGATAATATCAATTTGATATGGGCAATTATTGAGGATGAAATGTATGTTGTTGTTCATATAGAAGCCACATCTATAAATGGACACATTGGTTAATGAAACCCATAAAAATATGTTCCAGTCTAAATATATTTGTCTTGGAAGAATATAGTACAGCTGGCACATTCCCTTTTCCAACTAACTAAAACTCCTCTTGGCTCAGCATGTGCAGCCATCGACAAAGTCAAGTTATAATTAGATTGGGTAGGAACTAGGAATGCCAACCAGGAAATTGAGGTCATGATCTGTGCAGTATAGTAGGAGACATCCTGGGGTAGGGATGTTCTGGTATGACTCTGACTGAAGGGTATTGGACTGAGGTGAGGTAATGTAGGTACCATAGAAATAGAATCCCTAGAACGGATATCCCCATTCAAGTCAATGATGCCATGGTTTGAGGTTCTATGTCCATTCTAGGGATTCTATTTCTATGGCATTGGACTATTTCTATGTTAGGGACCTATGGAGAGGCTGTGTGTGGACTGGTATGTCTAACCCTCTCACCACTTCTAGGTTAGGATATTATGTCATAGCCACTAGCTCTGCCTTGGTACAGCAAGCCACTGCAGTCAGGGTTATTTACGGAGGTGAGATGGAGGCACAGAGAGACAGTCACTCATGCTCCATCACACTCCGAGCTGAGCCCACCATTCACCACCTACCCTCCTCCCTCCATCAATATCCCTCATACAGACCCGTACATACAGATAGCCCTCATCAGTATTCGTGAGGCAGAACAGAGCAGAGTGGGCCGTAGCTGCTGGAGGTGGACAGTTATGACAGGCAGGCAGGCAGCCTCCAGGCAGCTTGTTAATCCACTACCCACTGGGAGCAGCCTGGGGGGCCTCAGAGCCAGACAGGTATATGTGCACCGGACCGGCCGCTGCAGTCTTCCAGCCAGGTCTACCAGACAGTCACACACAGATAGACATCACACAGATTGACACCATACAGGTACAGCTTGAGGGGTGTCAAAAAAAGTGCAACGTTGTCTATTGTCCAACTCACCCAGGGGGGAGTGGGGGTATTGAGGAGGGGATGAGAGGTGTCAGAGAGAGAGAGCGAAGCGGAAAAAGCACACATACACACAGATTGGATTCTTCAAGTACCCACTCCTCAATGAATTGAGGTTAAGGCATTTTTGGGGGTGTGTCATTGATGCTCTTCTACTATTTCCTCTGAGCTCTATTGGAATTGGAATGCTCTGTGGTGTGTCCCCCTCATAGCCAGTCTTAGCCAGTCCTATAGGTTAGCCTACACTGGTGCTTTGGCCTTGGCACTGTCCTCTATAATCTTACCTCTGGCATACTATCACACTGTGTTGTGTGAGATACATGGAAAATGGTGCAAACAAGTCATGATTCATGACATGAGTAAACATGCAATCATGTGTAGAAGCAGTGTACTATCAGCCTAGTGTACTGACATACTATCAGCCTCTCTGAATAGTGTAGAGATAGGCGCTCGTTTGGATATCCTGTGAGTTATGTCAAGCAGCTGAGCAGTACATCATCCTGATACGAGATCTCTCTCTCTGACAGAAATGTTCAAAGCACATCCGAGTCTCTTCAGATTAGAGAAAACAACAATTTCCTTGATCAAACTGACAGGACAAGAGAGTGAGGAGGAATATCAGCTGTCCTGTCTGTGTACGATAACAAAATCACTCAGCACACTTCCTGATTCAAACAACACACAACCAATGTGGCGGAAACTGGTTGGTGGACGTGCCATTGCATTTGAATTGGCAGTGACCCTAAGAGATTTGCCCTGAGTCTTTTATCGGACTACAGAGCACTTACTTTATTTTGTTTACACTGCAGCTGTGAGAGTGATGCATTATTCATCTCCGCCTACAGAACCACTTGCATCCTGCTACCCCAGCTCTATAACATTAGAACTACCCTGACTGTATAACAGCACTATAACTACCCAGTACCCCCTCCCCCCCCGACAACCAACCTTCCCCCCTAGGGACTGGAACCACCTGCACCTTGATGCCTCAGCTGTCTACCTTCCCTCCCCCTCACAACCTGCACCCACCCTGGGGGAGATGTGGGTTACTGGTCGGGTCTGCCTCCCCTCCTCTCTCTTCACCTAGACTCCTCTCCCATCTTCTCTCCCACTCAGCGAGAAAAACACCTCTTCTGCTTCTTACCTCATCCTTCTCCTCTCTCCTCACCCCTTTCCTCTCCCACTTAGCGAGCAAAACACCCCTCTGCTCCCGCTGGGGCTGCCTCCCCTCTCTTCCCCTCCTCTCCTCTCTCCCCTCCTCTCCTCTCTCCCCTCCTGCTCACATCACCCCTCGCGTGTCTCTCCCACTTAGGGAGCAAAACAGCCCCTCTGCTCATCAGCATTTTTATGCTTTATTCAATAAGCCATGGGTTGCCTAGCTGCATCTGCAGATCAGCAGTATAACTTGTCAGTCCATGCCAAGCTACTGAAGCTTGTAACAGTCCAGTCCCTAGGTGTGCCCTCATCCCTGGAACACGACAACATACCACGCTACAACACCTGACCCTGTTAACGAGCTGCCGCCTGTCATTACCTGTAGTGTGTGTAAGGATAGTTGTCATGCCAACAAGTTAGGTATTGTGTTCCCTAGGTAACATACATTCCCCATGCAGTGTATCTTGGAATCTGGTACAGTAAACAGATGGAACACAATAAGCATAGCAGGTAAATACCAAAGAGAACTCTGTAAATACTGTTTGTGGGTATGAGGAAGCTTGAGTGGTCCTCTGTAGCTCAGCTGGTAGAGCATGGCGCTTGTAATGCCAAGGTAGTGGGTTCGAACCCCGGGACCACCCATACACAAAAATGTATGCACGCATGACTGTAAGTCGCTTTGGATAAAAGCGTCTGCTAAATGGCATATTATTATTGAGTAAGCACTGCTCTGTCCCCTAACCCGTCTGGAGCCAGTGTGGTACTGTTTCTAGGGAGGGTAGGTTTGACTGATACTCACCCAGGCGATGGAAAGCCTCCGTGGCTGCATGTCGTAGGTTCTGCATCCCAGTGTTGGTTCCTGCCTGGTTGTGCTGTGGAACTGCTGTGGAACCGCTGTAGAACCTCACTTCTACCCTGGCATCCTTAGAACTGGACCCAGCTACAGCAGCACTCTCATCTCAGTCACAGCCCCTCCTTGTCTTCAGCAACCTAGGATGTAAACAGCTTCAGCAGCACAGAAAGGATTTTCCTATTTTTCCTTCCTCCTCCTTTATCCTTTTGCCTGAAGCTGCTCTTGTCTCCTCTATTACTCTCTCTGTTTTGCTCTCTCCCTCTCACGATATTGCACCGTATACTCCCCCTCTCTCCCTCCTTTCTCCCTGTCTCCTCCTGCTGCCAGTTCCTCTGCTGCCTGTGAGACAACATTCAATAGCCAATCAGTGGTATCAGATAGGAGGCACTGCCCAATGAGCTCTCAGTGGAGGAGAGAGCCGGGGCTGCTGGTGTGTTTTGAAAGATTGGAGCTTGAGCATTGTGTTCAGGGAGCCACTAATGTGTGTGTGTACTGTGGGCTCCTGGGGGCAGAAGTGAGCCACGCTTTTGATCACCTTTATTCCAATAACTCAAGCATAGATTGGTATCTTTTTTTCCTAATTTGGCACAAAGAAACTAGAGGCCACAAGTAACTTGGTCAAAAATAATGGCACTGATTGGCCTATAGATGGCGCTGTTATAAGTAGTCTTACTTAAACCCTTATATTCGCCGACCTGTTTGACCTAGAGACTTTGTATGTAGGTGTCTTTCCTCATGCTGAACAAATTTGCCTTAAGGACCCATAAGGTCCATCCGGATAGATATTCCTCCATCTTGGACATTTTGGAAAACCTGAAAAACGTATTCTCATGAACCATAAGTCCAAAGAACACCAACTTTGATATGTAGGCCCATGGTACATCGCTTAACTTAGTTTGAGAAACGCTTGGTTGGTTAAGAGATGGCTGAGTTATTGATAAATCAGGAAATCAGATTTTACATGTCCATTTAAAATAAATATTTGTAAATCCACTTCACAATGGCCTATCAACTTGAAACATTGTTGGGTCATCACAGACATTACCATGATGAGTTTTGATAATACTTTAAATAATCATAAAAAAATATTCTCATGAACTAAAAGTCAGATTCACTCCAAATTTGGTATTTGGACTCATCACAATAGTCCCTAAAGAGTTTGAGAAAATAACATTGATGCATTCAAAGATGACGACACTTTAACACATTTTAGCCACACTATAACAGATTTTTGCATCTATGCTAAAATGTGCAATATATATATATATTTTTTTTTTAACCTTTGAAAAACGTATTCTCATGAACCATAGGACCAAATGACAAATCAAATTAGTTATTGACAAATCACAAATCTGATTTTATGTGTCCATTTAAACCACTGTAAATCCACTCCACAGTGGCCTATCAACTTGAAATTTGTCATCGCTATCATGGACGTCCCTAAAATGAACCATACTGAATTTGGTTTTGATATCTGAAAAAACAAGGAAACTATTAACAACTAATTATTTGCATATGTAAGGCTAATGCTCCAAATCATCTGCAATCAGCTTCTCCTCATGAACCATTTGTCAGATTCACTCCAGATTTTGTATTTAGAGATCTATTACTGATAACAGTCTTGAAATATGATTACCAATTCCATTTTTCCAAAACTTTCACGACAATGATTTATCATCTACCTGCACCTTGTACCTGCACCCGTTTTTCACCTTGGCATTGAGCATTGACACACATTCATCAAATAGAAAATCACAGTGTAAAACATCAGAATTCCATATTTGGTGTATTTCAAAATTGATAGCTATCAATGCTAAGCTACTTGACAGAATCGATGTTATAAAAAAATATATAAAAAAAGTTACGAGAATACGCACGCATTGAGCCCTCTCGGCTTCCGTTCAACTAGTGGTCACAACGACAAAGCGAATATGAAAATGATGACAGTTAGCTAGCCGGCTAATCCCTCGCATGATTTAGTTGCTGTACATTTCACAGTTCATAGGTTTATGAAGAAATGGACATGGTCAGGGGACCGGTAAGTGAGAAACAATTGTATCTCAGATTGTACATAATATATGGTTAGTAGCTACAGTACAACGAGCAAGTGGAAGGATACATGTCAGCTCTGAGTTGCTAGCTATTGTTAGTTATACGGAGACTATAACGAAGTCAATACAGTACTGAGACTGTCAAAGGCTTTGGTGTAGGCATCTAGTAATTATGGCATGAATTAATCCTCCTAACTAGTTGCGTCATTTCAAGCAAACTAATTAATTAACTAACTAGCTAATGGACTGAAAATAGTATTTTATCAAATAAATAGCTAGCTAGCTGGCTACTCAAATATGGGGGAGGGGGTGGTGTCAGTGTTAGCTAGGTTACGTCACTCCCACATCATTGACAGTTAGCCATGTAAATAGTGAAAAGAACATCTCTCTCCTATGAACAACAACAAGCTCTCGCTTACTGTCACTCGTGCTGGTTATTTTGAAGCCACCTAGCTACCAGTAGGGGCTGTATGTAATTCAGTGAGGCAGTGTTACCATTAGCTAGTCATTTTTGTAAGCTGTCTTGTTGTGTCCAATGTTGTTTACTGTATTCAATACAGGGCTGAATTTAGAAACGGATTTTGAGTTTTTCAAGTTGAATTTCACCAGTCTATGCATCAGCATTGCCATGGACAAATCTCAGTGATGGAGTCCCAGAGGAAAAGGTATGTAGCCCCTTGGTAGGGTGTTGTCAATAAATGTTATGTGATCATCATATGACAACTCATCAACTCATAATATTCATCATGTAAGTCTGTGCCCTCACAAAGCTCTTATTGTTTCTTTAGTTAGCTACTGTAACTTCTGTTCCAGGGCATGTTTTGTCTTGGTAGTTCAAAAACAATGTCTCCTCTATCAGTGCGGTTGTTCAGAATCCTTGAGACATGACTTGTCTGTCTGACTGTCTGTCTACTTCTGTGTGTGTTCTCCAGCTCTGGTGAGGAGGACAGTTCAGGGGAGCGAGGTTTGCTCCACACCTGGAAGGGCTACTCCTATAGTGTTACCCCAGAGAGAGTGCTCCTGTCCAGGCCTGTGCTGCAGGCTGCCCTGGGGACACGCCATGGGGTTCTACTGGTGGAGGGTGAGAGTATGGACAGCCTTTGATATGATGGCAACACTCTAAAATGTATGATTAGCCTGCTTTAATCTATAATTCAAATATGTATTTATTTAGCATTGGGTTTGTATACTGACGTACACATATTACTGGAAATAATTTCTAATAGATCCTCTTGTCTAATGACTTGAATGTTGTGTTGTGATGTATTTAGGCGGGCAGGTGTACAGCCTCGGTGAGTTGCCATGGAAACAGAGCCAGGTGTCGGATGTGGGCCCCCTGAAGCCCATCCTAGAGAGCGCTCTCAGCGGCCAGCGCGTGGTCGTCGTGGCAGCAGGCAGCTTCCACAGCGGGGCGGTGACTGAGGATGGCGGGGTCCACATGTGGGGGGAGAACTCCTCCGGCCAGTGTGGCCTGTCCAGCCTCGCCGTAGTCCCCAACCCTACTCCAGTGGCTGTCCTGGACCCCGACACTAGCACCCCTCAGACCATCCGGGTCCTGGATCTGGCCTGCGGGGAGCAGCACTCCCTTGCTCTCTCTGCCCAGCACGAGGTGTGGGCCTGGGGCAGCGGCTGCCAGCTGGGCCTGGTCACCACCATATTCCCCGTGTGGAAGCCCCAGAAGGTGGAGCACCTGGCGGGCAGACACGTCCTCCAGGTGGCCTGTGGGGCCTTCCACAGCCTGGCCTTGGTGCGTTGCCTACCCCCTCAGGAGACCCGGCGGCCCCTGCCAGACAAGTGTGGCCAGTGCAACCAGCTACTCTACACCATGACGGACAAGGAGGACCACGTCATTATCTCAGATAGTCATTACTGCCCCCTAGGGGTGGAGCTGCTGGCTGAGGGAGAGGCCAGGCTGGGGCCTGGAGGGTCCCCTCCACCAGGGCTCCAGAGCTCCCCTTCAGAGCCCCTCCTCTCCTCTCATACCACTGTCTCGGCCTCAGCACCTGGTCCCCATCCCTCCATAACAGAACATACAGACTATGAGAGGGGGAGGACAGTGGCACAAAATGGGGAAGTCTTAACCACCACAGACTGTGACATCTCTGTTGCTGGGACAGACTCTGGTCTAACTGTTGGAGGTGTGGGGGGTGCAGGGTCTCAGAACTCCCCCTACCCTGATGATCAGGCAGTGAAAGAATATCTGAAGAAACTGTCTGACACCTCTTTGGCTGAGGAGACTGCCAAGATGACCATAGCAGGAGCAAGTTTTCAGGTTAGTAGTGATGATTTGATGCTTTAAGCATAAAGCTACCCATTTTTGCACACTTGGTGGGTGACAAACTGACTTTGTGAGTTTGAGGTGTTTGAAAAGTGACAATGAGCTGTCACACTGTGTTTCCTGGGTCATGTTCATTAAGGCACGCAAAGGTAAAACAATTTGTCTTAGGAAAACTAAAATGTGCTTTTGTTATAGGTCCAGGAAGTCTCCCTGTTTCTGTCAGTTTTCTTTTGTGTGGTGCCTAATGCACACTGTGTTTGTTTCAGCCCCCAGCAGATAGCCTTGACCTCCTGACCTCTAACCTCATCCCCGGTGTCATGCCGGTGACGACCACCAGCTCTGCCCTCAACAGCCTGGTCTCATCCTGTGCCTCTGCCGTGGGCGAGAGAGTGGTCTCCACCTACGAGGCTCTGTCCCTGAAGAAAATGATTAACTACTACTACCCTGGGGTTGGGGGTGTAGCAGGAGTACCCGGTAGGGTACAAGGCGGGTTTCCAGGGGGGCCTGCGGAGGAGCGGGTGCGTCTGGAGGAGTCCATGCAGGGGAAGAAGAGCTGCAGCACGGGGGATATCCGTGAGGAGGAGGCCGAGGGCCTGAGTCGACGTCTCTCTCTGCCTGGACTCCTCTCTCAGGGTAGATACGCTGTTCATCTCTTATCCTCCTCCTCTGCTCATCGCTTCTTATCCTCCTTATCTTCCTCCTATACTCTGATGTGTAAGTATGTGTGTGTGTGTGTGTGTGTGTGCTCATCCAGCCTGCAAACATATCAAACCTCCATCTAAACTACAGTTCTATACAGTATGTTTGAGAATGCTGTGAAGGCTCACCAGTTGTCTCATTGTGGTGTTATTTGGATCTTATGTGTGTAAGTTATGTGGGTTGGAGTCAGTGAAGGGTGGTTTTTGTTCTGAGATTAAAGCACTTAGCCATAGAGGAATGTGAGGCCATATTAATGTGAGGACTTAATCAGAAGGGTTGTAGTAAGGAATGAGAGAGGGATGGAAGGAGAGAGGAGTGAGAGAATAAGATGGAGAAGAGAGAAAGGAGCGAGAGTCAGAGTGAGATAGTGAGGGAAGGAGAGTAAGAACTGAGAAAGTGAGAGTGAGATGTATGTGTGTGAGGAAGAGAGAGTGAGGGAAAAGGAGAGGGGGTGGAGAGGGCAAGATGGCCGTGATAATCTCTTGAGAGATCCAGTCAGTGGTAATGCCTGCTGTAGCGGAGGAATCTTCTATTGTCACTTTGGTATGGTGACAGCTGAACGGTAGGATTTGTCCCTAGCTCTCCGAGGGTGTCTCAGGGGGAGTTGGGATATGCAAAAAAACACATTTGACACATGAGAATAATACACATTTGTACATATCCTGGGACAAATATACACACCCACCAAATGATTATTATTAGCTTCCTGCTGCAGCCAGGGAGGGGACAGACAGCTCACCGCTCCCCTCTTGGTGGCTCTCCTCTGGGCTGACAGATGGCTCTTTGTGGGGGACATACGGCTCTCCGTGGGGGACAGGATGTCACAGTGGAAACAACCAACCCACGCCAGCTCAGTGATGTCTCGGTCCGTCTGTCCTCATTAACACTCCCTCCCATACGCTTACTGTGGTACAGGACCTGGCTCTGGCGGGGCTCAATGACTCATCACCTGGAGGATGCTGTGAGGGCTGTGTTTCTGTGTTTCTGTGTTATTGTGGGGGCTTCTTAGAAATGTTTTGGTTTTCAGAGTAGATTAAAATAGCTCCATGACTAAACCAGTTATCCTGAGAAATTCTTTAGACAAAGGTTGTTTACACTCACCTGTGGAACAGAGAGGAATTAATCCATAACATTAGCTGCAATTGACCCCATAACTGAAAATGGTTTGAGATGAAGCATAGAAAATGTATAATTAAGAAACCTATCTGTCGGGCCTCCCGAGTGGCGCAGTGGTCTAAGGCACTGCATCGGGTTTGTTCCCAGGCTGTATCACAACCGGCCATGATCGGGAGTCGCATAGGGCGGCGCACAATTGGCCCAGCGTCGTCCGGTTAGAGGAGGGTTTGGCCGGGGGGGGGGCTTTACTTGGCTCATCGCGCTCTAGCGACTCCTTGTGGCGGCCCGGTCGCCTGCAGGCTGACCTTGGTCGTCAGTTGAACAGTGTTTCCTCCGACACATTGGTGCGGCTGGCTTCCGGGTTAAGCGGGCGGGTGTTAAGAAGCGCGGTTTGGCAGGTCATGTTTCGGAGGACGCATGCCTCGACCTTCGCCTCCCAAGCCAGTTGGGGAGTTGCAGCGATGAGACGATCGAAATTGGGGAGAAAAGGGGAGGGTAAAATTCAACAACAAAAAATTAAAAAACATTGTCTGTCTCCGTCTGTAGTGTCCCCCAGGTTGCTGCGGAGGGCCAGCCGGCCCAGGGTGCGAGCGGTGCCCCTCACCCCTGTGGGAGGGCTCCCAGAAGCAGGGGAGCTGCTCCCCTCCCTGCAGACTGAGGTGTGGAGCTGGGGGCGGGGCGAGGATGGCCAGCTAGGCCATGGGGACAACCTCCCCAGGTCAGTGTCCACTCTACACCAATCACTGAGGGCTGGGGATGAGGACCATGATGATTGACAGTTATGTAGACCAGTAAAGCATCAGAGTATGAGCACTGAATCTGATCTAGGATCTGTTTGGCCTTTGAGATCATAATGAATAAGATTACATGGACAGGGAGGACCTGATCCTAGATCAGCACTCCTACTCTGAGATGCTTTGGCCCTGGTTGTTGACTGAGAGGTGTTTTGTCTCTGACTTGCAGGCTGCAGCCACTGTGCATCAAATGTCTGAGCAGTAAGGAGGTGGTGCTTGTGGCTGCTGGGGCACATCACTCCCTGGCCCTGACTGCACAGTCCCAGGTCAGGAACTAGAATATCACTCCCCATCCTCTTTACTCTACATGGGAATCTGAGTCTGAGTGATTCCTTCCAACTGTGTGAACATTTGTGTGTGTTCAAGGTCTTCTCCTGGGGTAGTAACAGCTCTGGCCAGCTAGGACACATGGAGTCTCCTACTACTATCCCTCGCCTTGCCAAGGTACTACAGTGTTTCTTTCTATTGAAGAAAATGGTGCCCATACAGTCATCTTTACCACACACTAACCCAGTGTTTCCCCTTTATTCATTTAGCAGCGGCGCCCAGCCACTGAATGGTGTTCTTTGCCACAAGTCTTTAGTATTACACAATAACACTAGAGCCTATATTAACATAAATCCCAGGAGACACCCTGTTCTGGGGCTAAGTCTCAATGGAAAAGCACCCTAAGCTGCTTATAGTAATCGCAAATCATGGGACATAAATATGAATATTGAATTTGTGCAGGACTGCGTGTGCGAGCTGGAACTGTTCATAGGAGCCTATCTCCTGTTTCTGTAGCATGAGGCAGCTTGATGTACAAGGACACCCCCTGGACATGACACTAGTCTATCGCAGGGCCTTACCCCCAATCTATCTCCTTAATGCTGATTGCCAAGCAGAGACTCATCGGGTCCCATTTTTACAGTCTTTGGTATGACTCAGCCGGGGATCGAACTCCCAACCTTCCAATCTCAGGGTGGACACTCTAACCACAAGGCCACTGAGTTGTAGAATCCTAGCACAACACAAAAGGCTGTATGTACAGTTATCTGATCTGCTCTGTTTGTCCCTGGTGTGACCCTGTAGCTGTCTGAGGGGATCCGTGTATGGGACGTGGGTGCGGGGGTGCAGCACACCCTCTTCCTGGCCGATGGGGACTGTTACCAGCCCATCCTCTACTATAGCGGACAGCAGGTCAGAGAGGGGGCGCAGGACGCACCCCAGGACCAGACAGGGGGGTACAGCTACACCCAGCAACCCGTGCTGCTCCCCTTCTGCATGAACGTGAGTAGTGGACCACACACACACTGTACTGGACCCATGCTGTGTTCCACTTGAGTGTAGTCAGCGTCTGCTTCGTGATTTCCACTGACATTTGTGTGTGCGCGTGTATCTGTGTTTTAGTTGGGCTACGTGAGCGGTGTGTTTGCGGGGGGCCAGAGCTGCGTGGCGCTCGCCGACCGTAACGTCATGGGTTTCATCGCCAGCCTCCACGAGCTGGCTGCTGCTGAGAGGAAGTTCTACTGCAAGCTGAGCTCTGTGAAGAACCACATACTACGCCCCCTGTTGGACCTGGGTGAGAACTACTGCTGTCGCCCAAGCTCCACTGGACAGAGGCCATGGGTCAGAGGTTAGGGAGGGAGAGGGAGGGAGGGAAGGATGAGTTTTATTATAATGGTAACCATGTCCAATCAAAAGCAAAAAAGTGATCGGTTCGCATTCAAAAAGATCTGGCATAAAGCGTACTTTTTGTTAAATGTAATTTTTTTACTGCATCAGAATAGCTTACACAGAGTGCAGACCTGTAACTTTTGGTTAACCATGTGCTGGAATAGAGTACGTTTAGAGTAAGTATCAGGTCGATTATCTCTTGGATGTGTGTGTTTTCTTTCGCATAGTGTTTGTTAACAGGTGTGTGTGGGGTGTGTTCTCCGTCTACCCCTCAGAGTCGTTGAGTACAGCCCTAGGCCCCGCGTCCACAGTGCTGCTACAGAGCCTGGCGAGGTGTTATAGTCGCCTGTGTCACCTGACTGGCCAGCACTCCGCCTCCCTCACCGCCAACCTGCGCCGCCGCCGGGAGGTTAAAAGCCTGGTTATGCTGGAGCACGCCAGCATCTTCCTGGACACGTACAATGAGTATGTACAGTTGTGTACACACACACACACAATATCTGGCACTAACTTCTTTACAAACAGCACCTCTGTACCATCTGATCTGAGAAATGCCCTCTCTTTGTTAGTTGGTTGTTATTTGGGTTTTAGTAGGTTGTGTACATGCAGTTCTGCGTGTATAATGACCTCTCCTTCTCTCCTCCTCTCTTTCCGTTCCTTCCCCCCCTCATCTCTCCCTGCCAGGTACTGCTGCTCTGTGGGTAACTTCCTGGTGATGGGGGGATTCCAGGCTCTGGCCAAGCCCTCGCTGTGAGTGTATACACACACACACACACACACACACACACACACACACACACACACTAGGACATCTAGCAGCCCTAGCTTATTATCCTTACCGTTTACATGCTCATTATATGTTCATTATCTTTACCATTTACCTAGGCCTGTGTGCTCATTATCCTTAACGTTGACCTAAGCCTGTGTCAGAGGACAGCTGTTTGATGCCTACTCATTCTGCACACAATGAGACTCAGGAAGCTCATGCAGGTTTAATTGGAAAGGGAAAAGTCAAGGGATTCATTCTAATGATAGCCCTACATTTGATAGATTATTTTTTATTATGAACCGGGTGGTTTGAGCCCAGAATGCTGATTGGCTGACAAAAAATACCACGTATACGACAAAAATGTTTTACTGTTCTAATTACATTGGTAACCAGAGCCTAACGTAGAGCCTAAGAACATCCCTTAGCCATGGTATATTGGCCATATACCACACCTCCTTGGGCCTTATTGCTTAATTACAAACCAATGTGATTCTTCATAAATGCTTCAACCAAGACCGACTGAATTACCCTTCTCATACTTTTAACTGGACAAGTGAACATTGAATTAAAACAGGAAATCTCCTCTCTTCCCCCTCCATCCTCTCCCACACTCTCCTCTTCAATCCTCTCCTCCCTCCATCCCCTCCACCATCTTGTGTTCCTCTGCTCAGAGATTTCTTTGGGAAGTGTCCAGAGCTGTTGCAGCGGCTGGCAGAGTCCAGTGAGGAGAACATTCCTCTGAGTGACCTGTTGGTGGCGCTCTTCTACCTGCCCATGAGACACCTTCACGAGTATGGCAGGCTGCTTCTCAAACTGGGAACCTGCTTCGAGGTGGTACGTGGAGGAACTAGGACCTGGGACGCACCACGCACGCACGCACGCACACACACACACACACACACACACCTTCATACATACTCTCACTTTCTTGTGTGTGTCGCTCTCTCTCTCTCTCTCTCTCTCTCCATCCAGAGCTCAGTGGACTACCAGAAGCTGCAGGACGGCTGCTCTAAGTTTGAGGCCCTGGCTCTTCATCTGAAGAGGAAGAGGAAGGAGGCAGAGTACACATGCCACTTCTGGAAGAGCTTCCCTGGCAAGATGACGGTCAGTGGCCTGGTCAGTTGGGTTGACCACAGCAGTCAGTGCCAGATTCACACTATTGGGCCAATGCGAACCGTACTGTGCTCGGTCAGATCTTTTTTCCCCCACATTGTCCTTTCAAGCATGGTTCCAGCAACTATAACCAGGCCAGGACAGTACAGCTTGGTTCGGTTTGGCTCCATAGTGTGAAATGGGTATAAGATATTTTATTCAGCCCTATATCTCCAGCTTTCCAACCTATTATCCCATTTGACCTGGCGTTCCTGTTCCAGGATTCCCTGCGTAAGCCCCACCGGAGGCTGATCTGTGAGAGCAGTAACAAGGCCCTGACGCTACAGAACTCTGGAAGGTTCTCTGTCAACTGGTTCATCCTCTTCAACGATGCACTCGTCCACGCTCAGGTAAACAGAGCTTCTTACAGCTGGCTCTTAGCCAATGTCTTTCTTTCATTCTTTCTTTACTTTCTTTCTTTCATTCTTTCTTTCTTTTGTTTTTAACACCCTCAGAGCATTTGATATTAATATATCTGGTGTGTTGACTGACTCCTATCAAGTTGTGTGTTTGTCTTTGTCCTATCAGGGCGTGGTTCCCTATAAAAGCCTTGTAAGTATGCAGCAGCAGCCAGTGTACTGACCCCTAGTCAATGCAGCGCCCCCGTGTGGCCAGGGCTTGGCTTAGGAACGTAGGCCTGCTGTAGCAGCTCTTTAGGCACCTGCTGCCTGCCGCAAACCACAAACACCGGCTTCACAGCTTGAAATAGCACCCGCACAAACACACACAGTTTGTCTGATCTTCTTTATGCACATACGGTGTACTAACTAACACCCGGCTGGAAAAAGCCTTATTGATTTGCTTTCTTGAAGCTCACAGTAAAGAATGGTAGTTATTTACCTTCTCTGCCTTCTCACTCAGGCTTTAGCTAATATAACTGCTCCTGAACATTAGGAGCCCTACAGAGGGTTCTGTACACCTCTCTACAGTGTGCAGCTGGTCCTCAGCCGAGCCCAGTGCCCCGGCCCTCTGATGCTAGCCTCAGGATACTGTGTGGAAAGCTGAACTGATACCTGTAATAACTAAGGCTCTCTGCAGTATATTGCCTACTTTTATGACATTGTCGTAGTCATAGCAACATGTTGACTCTGCTTACAGACCTCAATATAAACACAAATCCAAAAAGCTAAGACTGACGTTATTGGGTCTTCCCAATGTGTGCGTCTTGGTTATCTAACTAAGATGCCTTTTAACCCATTAAGTTTTTGCGATTCGGAGCCTTAGTTATCATTACTCTGAAACCATGTGACACAACATGTGAGGATCAGCCATCTCAGATTCACTTCTCTCAAACAGTTTCTCTTCCTTTTTGATTCATGTTTAACTCCAAGGAGAACATTTTCCTGTGATGTGCCACTGTCTCTCTTAGTGTGCACCCACCTAGCTGTGTTTGATGACGTAGTGAGCGTTTCTAGCCCCCGTCGGTTCCACCGTGTGTGCTGTGTCTGTCGGCCTGCCTCGTGCCCTGTTGCCCTCGCCTCTCTGTGTGCCATGCAAATTGGCATCTATTAGGTCATGTGACTGTGTTAGCTCCAGTGCCCTGACTACTTCCCTGACTGTTGACCCAGTGTATCTGTAGCTGAGTGTATCTGTATCCTGATGTCTCTCTTCCCTCCCTCTCCTCCAGTTCTCCACCCACCACGTATTCCCATTGGCCACACTGTGGGTCGAGCCCATCCCGGAGGAGAACACTGGGCTGTGAGTCTGTCAATCACCCTATCTGCCCAATCACAGTGTGTTTATCTGGTGTGTTATTGAGCCCTTAGCTCAGGGTTTCCCAAACTCGGTCCTGTGGACCCCAAGGGGTGTACGTTTTGGTTTTTGCCCTAGCACTACACAGCTGATTCAGATAATCAACTAATCATCAAGCTTTGATAATTTGAATCAGCTGTGTAGTGTTAGTGCAAAAACCAAAACGTGCACCCCTTGGGGTCCCCAGGACCGAGTTTGGGAAACGCTACCTCAGCTGAACTGTGCTATGTTCCATCCAGGTATGGACTGAAGGTGATCTCACCTGAGGAGACCTTCACCCTGCTGGCCTGTTCTTCCATGGAGAAGGTAGGCCACTAGCCAATAACAAGGCCTCACTACTCACCTGCTCAAGTTACAAGTATGTAGTGGGTGTGTCTTTGTAGGTTCTTAGTTGGGTTCTGTTTGTGGAGCTTGTGGTGACAGATAGTGTAACAACCCATTCGGTTCAATTCAATATGACTATTAACCGATGTGTGTTCTCCAGGCCAAGTGGCTTCGCTCCATCAACCAGGCAGTGGACCAGGCCATGAGTGGGGCGGGGCAGTCAGGCTCAGGGGCAGGGCAGAGGGCGGAGCCTCCCATCTCCCGGACCGCCTCCTACACCTTCTACAAGGACAGCCGTCTGAAGGAGGCCACCTACGAGGGCCGCTGGCTGGCCGGCAAGCCCAATGGGAGGTGGGTCTGGCTGGGGAAGGAGGGAGGGATGAGGGGTTGTGGAAAGAGCTGACTTATTGTGTGTGTCTCCTTGTTTCCAGGGGTATTGTGAAGTGGCCTGATGGGAGAATTTACACGGGGACGTTCAAGAACGGACTGGAGGATGGGTCAGTCAGTGTTAATCAATCAATAAATCAATTTATCAATCAGCGTGGTCAGAAATAAAGGCATTTCACATTGTTCTGCTATTTGTTTCTGGGTCATAGTTTTGGAGATTACGTTATTCCCAGCAAGACGTTGAACAAGAACGACCACTATCAAGGCCACTGGAAAGAAGGAAAGATGCACGGCATCGGAACATTCAAGTGAGTCTGTTTGGCTTTGTGAGGAGTTAAGAGACCCGTCAGGTTAATAATCACCATTTTGTAAGCGTGCCCTGGAGTTTGCAGACATGTCTGTGTGTACGTTAGCTGTAGGGTTTCTGCTGTGTCTCCTAACAATGTGACTGTCGTCTGTGCAGGTATGCTACAGGTGAGTTGTACGAGGGCTCGTTCCAGGACAACATGCGTCACGGTCACGGCATGCTGCGCAGCGGCACGCTAAACTCCTCCTCCCCCAGCGTCTTCATCGGCCAATGGGTGCACGACAAGAAGACGGGCTACGGCGTCTTTGATGACATCACCAGGTAGTGGACCGCTCCAGCCCACCCTTTTCATACTACCGAGCTGAGCTGTACTGAGCTGGCCTGATTACGCATCCACCATAGTTTACTGAGCTAGCTCAGTACGGTTGGGGTTGGAATGATAGTGTGAAAAGGGTATTAGTGTATCTGAAGTGCTGCTGATGTTACGTGGTGACCTGACTGCCTGTGTTGTTCCTGTGTGTTCCGTCAGAGGAGAGAAGTACATGGGCATATGGCAGGATGACCAGCGGCAGGGCACGGGCGTCATAGTAACCCAGTTTGGCCTGTACTACGAGGGAGCCTTCAACAACAACAAGATGCAGGTGAGTCCTGGGCAGTGGGGGTCTTCCTCCTGAAGATATTAGAGGAAATGAAGATGATCTTCTCTCCATTTGCTCTTTCTCTCTCGCTCTCTCTCAGGGCACAGGGGTCCTGCTGTCTGAGGACGACACCACATATGAAGGAGAGTTCTCGGAGGACTGGACTCTCAACGGAAAGGTCAGTGAAAGAAGAGACAAGCCTGAACACTCTCTCTCTCTCTCTCTCTCTCTCTCTCTGTGTGTCTGTCTGTATCTATCTCTGTCACACACACACACAGCTTGCACTCACACACATTTTTGCTTAGCCACATACATTTTACAGACATTAGTCCAGACATGTATAATACAGCACATTGCTCTCCCTCCCTCTCCTATCCCTCAGGGTGTGCTGACCATGGCTAATGGGGACTACTTTGAGGGCTCCTTCACCGGGGAGTGGGGTTCCGGCCTGAAGGTCACCGGATCCTACTTCAAACCCAACCTCTACCACTCAGACGGGGACAAGGGCCGCGCTGTGTAAGTCTCTGTATCATTCAATGCCATTGGTTTTAGTATGGTGGAGGATTAGCATATTCAAAGATTTTGGTCTTGATTTAGGTTTTGATCTTGAGTGTTTTTTTTTGTTTTTAAATCATATATAATGTTAGCAAGGCAATCTGTCTACAGGAGATGTTTTTTGCATCTATGCCTTGTTAAAGTGTTGAAAGTTTTGAAATGAACCCAGTCAAGTGAATGTGTGTGTATGTGACCATAGAAATAGTCTATTCATTCCTTTTACGTGTGTCTCCAGTAAGTTGGGGCGCCTGGCGGTGCGTCCGGAGGAGAAGTGGAGGGCAGTGTTTGAGGAGTGTTGGAGGAGGCTGGGCTGTGAGGCCCCTGGCCAGGGAGAGAACCAGAGAGCCTGGGAGAACATCGCTGTAGCCCTGACCACCAGCAGGAGACAGCACAGAGACAGGTAGAGAGAACAGAGACACACACAGTACACACAGTACTCACAATCCACCTCACACACTCTCTCTCTCTCTCTTCTCCTCTCTCTCTCTCTCTCTCTCTCTCTCTCTCTTCTCTCTCGTCCTGTCTCGCTCGGTCTCCGTCTCTGGTCCTCTCACACGTCTCTGGCGTCTCTACACGAATCCTCTCTTTTTCCATCCTTCTTACTAACTTTCTCTCCCATCACGAGTTCTCTCTCACACTCTCTCTCTCACACTCTCTCACACTCTCTCTCACACACTCTCACACTCTCACACACTCTCACACTCTCACACTCTCACACTCACACACACACACACACACACACACACACAGAGAGTACAGTAGTCTGTGATATTGATGTTTGTGTTCCAGCCCGGAGTTGAACCTGAGTCGGACTCATAATAGAACTCTGGAGAGTCTGGAGTTCATCCCCCGCAGCATGTTGGCCCTTTTACCATGGAGAAGTATGACAGTATCCGCCGTTACCTCATCAAGGTGAGCCAACGACCCCAGGTGACTTACTAACCCCAACCCTCCTGATCCCCCCTCAGCAGATGGACCCACGCACCAACGTGTGTCTGACGAACAAACATACCAGCACATCACCGTTTGCTTCAGTATGGTTCAAGAATAATAATAAGGAAGAAATGTCTGAACCTCGTCCTGAGGTGCCCCTCTTCATACTGATTTACTCTCTTTAGTTCTAACATCTGATTTATTCTCGTAGAGAAAACATCACAAAATATTAATATCCTGAAACTCACACATTAACCGTAACTGTCCTCCATTTTGTGCCCCCCCCCAGGCATGTGACACACCCCTGCACCCCCTGGGCAGGCTGATGGAGACCCTGGTGGCTGTCTACAGGATGACCTATGTGGGGGTGGGGGCCAACCGCCGCCTTCTACTGCAGGCTGTCAACGAGATCATGTCCTACCTGGCCCGCATCTTCCAGCTCGTCAGGTGCGTGTGTGTGAGAATTGCCTAAAACAGTTAGATACTATTTTTCCATTCAGTTTGACCCTAGGCTAGCCTGTGTAAGCTTATATCTGTGTGGAATCTTATCCATGTATGCCTAATGTTTGTGTCTCTCAGGTTCCTGTTCCCAGATCTGCCTGAGGAGGGTGGCGCGATCCCTGAACCATCCTCTGACTCCCAGGACAAGAAGGACTCCAATTGCACAGACAACCAGCTAGAATCCCCCAAACCTGGGTACGACCATAGCATATCCATCCTGTGGAGAGGCTTCAGTGGTGTGGCTATGTAGCAATCATATACTGAAGCCATTGTCGTCTTAGAGATGACTTGTAGATAAATATGTAGGCTATGTATTTATGTTTTGATTTGATTGAGAACATCTACAACATGGATCTGTTGCAGTGGAGGGTCCAATGGGAGCTACCTATGGGGGATTATGTACAAAACTATAGAAGATTACATTACAGTATGTCTTATGTAAAAGAGCATATGTCACTGTTCTTTAAATACAGTTTTCTTCCGGAAGAAAAATAAGTATTTAAGCCCCTGAATGTGTGTGTTGAATGATGTCCTGTGTGTGTGGTTTCCCCAGGCGTGTGGTGAGTAGCTCAGCTCTGCTCCTGCCAGTGTTGCTGCCTCGTCTCTACCCCCCTCTCTTCACCCTGTACGCCCTGGAGAAGGAGAGAGAGGACGACGTGTACTGGGAGTGTGTCCTCCGCCTCAACAAACAGCCAGACATGGCCCTGCTCGCCTTCCTCGGAGTGCAACAGTGAGTCTCTCTCGGACTGACCATTGAGGTCATGGATGGGAATGATTAGTAGCCTTTTACGACCGTTCTGATCTAGCAATCTTACATTCTGTTGAATCCATGTAGCGAAACAGAATGTAAGCTCGCGAGGTCAGGATAGTCGTACGAGGCTAAATGAAAAGGGCCACAAGTTTTTTTCCGATCATGTAACCTGACCTGGAAAAACTGTAGTTATAGCATGTAAAAATTATTCTCTTTTTGCTTTTAGTAAGTTTTGGCCTGTTTCGGTTCCAGTACTGGGGGAGAAGACTGAGGTATGCCCTCCTGTGGGTGAAATATGTTACACCAAGTACATGTTAGACTGTCCTTACTGACCATCTCTCTCCTCTTTCTAGGTTGTATCCAGCACAAAAGACGCCTGTTTTGCCTCAGCAACGGAGACCTTACAGCAGATCAGGTAGGCTTTATCCAGAGCAGATCTATATCGTCATGAATGAATGAGTCTCATGCACTCTTTAAGTTATGATATTGTAGTTATGTGGTTGATGTGTATTAAGGCCGTTTCTTTGTTTTCAGCACAACGTTCACCCCATCCGACAAGCTGCAGGTGATCCAGCTGACCTTCGAGGAGATCACCAAGGAAGTGATGTCATCTCTGAAGGATAACTTCCTGTGGTCCATGGACGACCTGTTTCCTGTGTTCCTCTACGTGGTGCTGCGCGCCCGGTGAGTTGATGAACCCACACGTCTCTATGCTCCTCAGAGATGCACGGACATCCATGATTTTTCTCCAATTAGAATCAGAACTACAAATCAATTTATATGTGTGTGTGTGTCGTGTGTTAACCAAGGCTGTGTTTCTCTTCAGGATCAGGAACCTGGGGTCAGAGGTGAGTCTGATCGAGGACCTGATGGACCCCTGTGTACAGCATGGAGAACACGGCATCATGTTTACCACACTCAAGGTACACACACTCACTTATAGCATACATTCTATGGCAGATACCATCCAAATGCGCACACACACAGACAAACACACGAGAAACTCATAACTTATTCAAATACTTATAACATATTCATGTGATCGATGCATGGTTACACGCACTGCTTCATAGGGAATAAATGAAGCTGTAATTACCTGTATAATATATTCATCTTATTTCCCTCTGTCTGTCAGGCGTGTTACTACCAGATCCAGCATGAGAAGACCACATAAGAACCACAAAGAGTCTCTTACTGTATACCTGCAGCAGCTCTCAGTGTAAAGTGGCAGTCAGACAGTCAGCCAATTAGAGGGCAGGGATCGGAGGTTTGGAGTGATGCTGTGTCTGGGTCGTCACAGGAGGGTCACGATGACTGACAGACAGGCTGCTGACTGTCCATCTGCTCCCCCGTAGCAGGACCCCTTCCCCCTTACACACACACACACACACACACACACACATACGTAAACACACACACTACAAAGCTCCCCGCTCTAACCACTGCCCACTGGTGACCGCATCATCAGGCTCATACAGGTCAGGTTGGCCTCTGTAAGCCCAAGGTGTTGTAAAACAGTTTGGCCAGTTTATCTGTCCATAGCCTTTGTAACACCGTAGCCCCTGAATGAAGGAACCTGCTTCTTGAGCCGTCTGGAATAGGAGCTTACTGTGATGCTGGCAGAGCCAGTGAAGTTTTAGCCTGATCGTGGACTGTTGTGAATATGACTGGCTATTTACTATTCACGCTATAGTAGTGGCAGAGATGCCTCAATTGTCGCCCGTCTCTGGTAGTGAAATGGAAGTCTATGAAGAGAAACTGAAACGTTAAAATCCAAGTGAGACTCACCTTAAACATGGAGCCTGTCTAATAACAAGACGCCATCTTGTATGTACAGTATGTATGAGTACGCATCACATGGCCACTTGTTGCTTCCATCGGACCTCAGCCCTCAAAGGACATGTTGTTTAATGGACCAACACAATACATCACATTGATGTCACTTTTAACATGGAAAGCGTTTAACTTCACAGTGACATCTGAGTCTGTGTACACAGAGCACTAGCCTGCACTCACTCAGACCAACACCAGTTGAAGTTGTTTTCTAGTTGAAATGTAAAATGCACACATGATACAGATTCCGTGTTATTGTTGTATTCATTGTTCTGAAAAATATTAAATATACAGCTCTGTATTCAGGTGATTGAAGATGAGAAGTTGGGTGGCGCTCTGTTTCTCATGTAATGCAGGTAAATGACAGCCAGCTAATGTGCACCTCACCTGCTAGCATTTAAAACATTAAAATTCTTACTGTATTATTTGTATTTTTAACCACTCAGTTTTCACAGTATTTATAACGCTACAAGGTGGTTATTTCAGGTCACTTTGTGTTATTCTACACCAGAGCTAAAACCTCAGCCACCTACATGAAATGTTGACATTTGATGGGTAACACATAGTAGTGGACTGTCTCTTTTCTGTTATAAAGCTCTTCCTGCAATATAGCTAATGTAATTCTGTTGTAATATTCATGTTTGTGGTTCCTCAAATCAGATGGAGACTATTACTAGGAAGCAAGATTAATGTATTTGTTAGGTGTGCTCCTGTCATGCAGACAGACTTATGACAGTATTGTGCAGTATTTGTGACTACCTGCAAGCCAATCACTACCCTGAAGAAACTGTTCAATTTATTGTGGTCTGATCATGTTGTAATGGCATTGTGATGGTTAGACAGTGACATTGAAGTATGCCAAAGGAAATTCTTCCTGTTGCAAATTGGCACAATGTTCTTTAAACATCTTTATTTTTTTTAATCTCAAATCTGGGCAGAATTATTAATCTGGAGAATAGAATTTGTTACAACTGTTAATTGATTGTTTGATGGGACATGCAGTACATAGGAATTGCTATTTTAAACAGAATTTGATTGTAACCTGGTATTTGGTTGTCTTTATTCAGCTTGTTTGTAATTTGTATGGTATGGTCATTCCATTTCCCCTCATAATTCCTTTGGCAAAGGACTGTGGTTATTTACCTGTATATCTGTTTACACCTGAAACTCATGACATGAAGTGCTGCATGATAGGATATCTCTACAGTGTTTGACCCATAGACTGCATAACATACAGTTTGATCTATGAAGGAAGCTGTGACTGCTTGTACTTCCAGGTTAAGGTGTGTTCCATTGGACAGAGTTATCTGTATGTTGTCACGTTTGTCTTTTTTAGGGGAATGATGTCCACATTTTGTCTGATGTACATATCTTAATGTAAACAAAGGGCAATAAAGCAAACTGACAAAGTTCCCTTTAAATTAAATTAGCCCCTGTACAAGTTTGTCTTAAATTGTAAACCGTATGTTCCCTGTTACTTTGGTTTAATGGGTTAGATGCTTTGATTTTAACAGTCAGATTAGAGGTCAAAGATGACTGCTTTGTAAATATGTGTAGTGCTGCTGACAATCCTCTAAGCTTTGTCCCATTTCTAAAAAGCTACAGAGACAGAGGGTGAATTAATGACAATACAAAAATAACTTTTTAAAGCCAAAACTTTTTACAGTGCAGCAAGATAATCTTAGTTTAAAGTTCAGCAACAAAAATCAATGACTTCATAAATCACCACCAATCACCAGTTTCTGATGGTGTTTGATGAAACAGTGGTAAATAAGTCCACAGTAAGGAGATGAGTGGGTGACAGTCTTAGGCTTAGATTCAATCAGATAGCGGATGTTTTGGCGGTGCCAGGTGGAACTGGAACTGCGTTGGAGCTGTCAAATCGGTGAGCAGCTGCTCTTGTGATCAATGAGGGAGTTCTATTACGCTTGCCGGGGTGGAACTGGGCAATGGCCCGTCACGTCATAGGGCGAAAGCGGGGAGGGAGCAGCGCCCTTCTCAAATCGAACAGTAATCTGAAACATACAGTGGGGGAAAAAAGTATTTAGTCAGCCACCAATTGTGCAAGTTCTCCCACTTAAAAAGATGAGAGAGGCCTGTAATTTTCATCATAGGTACACGTCAACTATGACAGACAAATTGAGGAAAAAAAATCCAGAAAATCACATTGTAGGATTTTTTATGAATTTATTTGCAAATTATGGTGGAAAATAAGTATTTGGTCACGCACAAACAAGCAAGATTTCTGGCTCTCACAGACCTGTAACTTCTTCTTTAAGAGGCTCCTCTGTCCTCCACTCGTTACCTGTATTAATGGCACCTGTTTGAACTTGTTATCAGTATAAAAGACACCTGTCCACAACCTCAAACAGTCACACTTCAAACTCCATTATGGCCAAGACCAAAGAGCTGTCAAAGGACACCAGAAACAAAATTGTAGACCTGCACCAGGCTGGGAAGACTGAATCTGCAATAGGTAAGCAGCTTGGTTTGAAGAAATCAACTGTGGGAGCAATTATTAGGAAATGGAAGACATACAAGACCACTGATAATCTCCCTCGATCTGGGGCTCCACGCAAGATCTCACCCCGTGGGATCAAAATGATCACAAGAACGGTGAGCAAAAATCCCAGAACCACACGGGGGGACCTAGTGAATGACCTGCAGAGAGCTGGGATCAAAGTAACAAAGCCTACCATCAGTAACACACTACGCCGCCAGGGACTCAAATCCTGCAGTGCAAGACGTGTCCCCCTGCTTAAGCCAGTACATGTCCAGGCCCGTCTGAAGTTTGCTAGAGTGCATTTGGATGATCCAGAAGAGGATTGGGAGAATGTCATATGGTCAGATGAAACCAAAATAGAACGTTTTGGTAAAAACTCAACTCGTCGTGTTTGGAGGACAAAGAATGCTGAGTTGCATCCAAAGAACACCATACCTACTGTGAAGCATGAGGGTGGAAACATCATGCTTTGGGGCTGTTTTTCTGCAAAGGGACCAGGACGACTGATCAGTGTAAAGGAAAGAATGAATGGGGCCATGTATCGTGAGATTTTGAGTGAAAACCTCCTTCCATCAGCAAGGGCATTGAAGATGAAACGTGGCTGGGTCTTTCAGCATGACAATGATCCCAAACACACCGCCCGGGCAACGAAGGAGTGGCTTCGTAAGAAGCATTTCAAGGTCCTGGAGTGGCCTAGCCAGTCTCCAGATCTCAACCCCATAGAAAATCTTTGGAGGGAGTTGAAAGTCCATGTTGCCCAGCGACAGCCCCAAAACATCACTGCTCTAGAGGAGATCTGCATGGAGGAATGGCCCAAAATACCAGCAACAGTGTGTGAAAACCTTGTGAAGACTTACAGAAAACGTTTGACCTGTATCATTGCCAACAAAGGGTATATAACAAAGTATTGAGAAACTTTTGTTATTGACCAAATACTTATTTCCACCATAATTTGCAAATAAATTCATTAAAAATCCTACAATGTGATTTTCAGGAAAAAAAAATTCTCATTTTGTCTGTCATAGCATCTGTTTTTAATAAAATTAATGTTTGCTTTTTATAAAATGCTTTAAATTCAATCACATTTGCATGTTAAAACAAAGAAACCTACTCATTACGCCACATGCTTAATTATGTCACTTTTGTGTTGAGCCGACTTCGCAGTGGGCTTTGAACGGGGCACCTGGCTCACGCCCGGGAGGCAGCCCAGGTCTAAAACGAATGCAATCAACTTTCAGCCGGTGCAAAACACACATACACGGGTGCCCGGGTGAGATTAAATGAACCCCCACAATGTGTTCACACATACAGTACAATGGGAGTGGGTGTGGCATGCACAGGGGAGGACCAGGAGTTTGATCTCAGACTTCTATTTAGGACTGGTATCCTATCCAGAGATGCCAGATTGACAGTGAGGACAAACCCAGCCTGCCTCTCTCCTTCCACACTGAAATGAAATATACAGTCAGTGCCAAGAGTGTGCTGACTGTCATCAAGGCGAAGGGTGGCTATTTGAAGAATCTAAAATCTAAAATATATTTTGATTGTTTAATACTATTTTGGTTACTACATGATTCCATATGTGTTATTTCAAAGTTTTGATGTCTTCAGTATTATTCTACAATGTAGAAAATAGTAAAAATAAAGAAAAACCCTTGAATGAGTAGGTGTTCTAAAACTTTTGACCGGTAGTGTAAGTATTCAGACACTTTGCTATGACACTTGAAATTGAGCTCAGGTTCATCCGGTTTTCGTTGATCATCCTTGAGATGTTTCTATAACTTCATTGGATTCCACCTGTGGCGAATTAAATTGATTGGACATGATTTGGAAAGGCACACACCTGTCTATATAAGGTCCCACAGTTGACATTGCATGTCAGAGAAAAACTAAGCCATAAGGTCGAAGGAATTGTCTGTAGAGCTCCGATACAGGATTGTGTCGAGGTACAGATCTGGGGAAGGGAACCAAAAAATGTCTGCAACATTGAAGGTCCCCAAGAACACAGTGGCCTCTGTCATTCTTAAATGGAAGAAGTTTGGAACCACCAAGACTCATCTAGGGCTGGCCGCCCGGCCAAACT